TTTTTAATTTTATTCCACCTTTTAATTTTCGCAATTTCTCGATTCTATATTTTCGTCTCCGGTTAGTATGCTGAGCCCGATTAAAGATATTCTACTGTTCAAGGGAAGTTGTTATTACGCATTTCTTTCTGTTCTACTGTATTTTGGTACCAATATAGAACAGCGAAATATCTCAAAAACATGAATCATGGCTGTAAATTACCGCACATCGAATGAAAAATTGCAGGTAGTCGGGTTCGAGTATGGAATTTATGCTGATTCATATCAAATAAAACTGAACTTTCATGATTCTGTCCCTATATTAACCATATGAGACAGCATTCAGAGCATCATCTTTGGAAATTTGAAAAATATGAGAAGGAAACTAACTCACGTATCATCTCCTACAATAATGTTCACATCGCTAAGATGAGCATTGTTATAGTACTTGGCAAAATCATTTAACGCATCTCGATCGTCAGCAAAGCAATCCATGCCTGAACACAAATATTAGCAATAGCACATCAATAACAGGCTGTGTTCCTATCCCTGTTTTTGGCTCATTCAACCTATATCCTAAAACAGCACTATCAACTGCACCCCTGACAATCGGTTGTACTGCAAAAAAGGGGAAAAAGCTCTATTTTTCTACTTATTTCTGGAATTTGCAGTTACCCGATGGTTCGTCGGGTGCGATGACAAGACGATTCGGTACATCATGCAGTTTCATCGCGACCATTTCAGCAATTGCTGCTGTGCCTGTACTTTGTTGAATATTGATGACGTCGAGTAGGTCAGCCTCGTCTGACTCTACAGTATCGCAGACATTTTCATCGGACATTTTCAAAAGACGAACTGTTGGAGAAGGAGAATGAGAGGTGGGGCAAGTGATGTCGCAGCAGATGGGCAGAATGCAGGTGAGGAGTGAATCAATGTGCTGTGCTGCTTTGTGATCGGGTGTCGTGGGTCGACGGCTGGCTTCAGACGCAGCAATAGTTACATACTGGCAACATATCAGCAAAAACTCTAGCGCAAACGAACACATCGGAGCGGCGGACAGACACATAGATGAGCATAAGAAAGCGCGCAAATTTCTGCGCGAGCCATTTCCCGGTAGAAGTGCGGATTTTTGAACGAGCGGCGAAACAAAAGAACAGCGTATTTTAACAATTTAATGTGCTACTGCTGCCTGTTGGTGTCATAATGATGAGCATCGGGACAATGCACGCCGCACACGCGATACGCCATCATTATCGACATAGAATCGGCGAGCAATTGCGAAATTCCCTTTTTTTTCAATTTTGTACTGCTACCGACTGAATGAGATTCCAAAAATCATATACCACATAGAAAGCTCCGCAGCGATTACTGCCTGCTAAATTGCTGGCCACTAACTTTCTTATTTGATGTTTTCAGACTTGCTGTT